CATATGGTGTCACAGTGTTTGGTTACCTAGTGTAAAAATTTAATATGCTCTCATAAAGTATATTTTGATAGTGTGAATGTTATGAGGATATTAATAATAACATATAGGCTTTATATCAGTTTTTATTAATGTTGCTAGGATTTATTCATCATCAAAATGTTAATGACGTCAATTTACTTTACATTTGATTACCTGTATCTATAGAGTATAATTTATCCAAGCCAAATATAATGGTTGTTTACGTATGAACTATGTACCTGTGGATCAAAAAAATTACTGGATTTCAATTGGTAGAATATTAAATTTGTTACATGTACTTAGCAAAATATCAATTTTTTTTTCTTACTGAAAAATATTGCTGTGTCTGTTTAAAAGTTAAGAAGGTAAGATATAGGTTTTGTTTAAATTAAATTGTGGCTAGCACAAAGTTGATGTTTTTGTTTCAAGAATAAATTTGAGGACATCCCACTCTGTGTCATAGTCATTATTCGTATACTTAATCCATTCACCCCAAACGGTCATCACAGTTAAATGAATAGAAACGAGGGTAAGAAATTTTTTTCTTCCTTTAAAGGTAGTTTTCATAATAAAATTGATACTGTATAGCACCAGGCTTCTGCTCTGTTAGTTGGTTATTTCTTTTTTTTTATATATAAAAGGTGCTATTGAAATGTCATCTTATAAAATTTAATCTCGCATTAGCACTTTTATCTGGTAGTGGTCACATTGAATGCTGGTAGCAGTCTCATCAAGTTATTCAATGATATACATGTAACACTACATGGCTCATATTACAAGTTTGTGAGGAATGGGTCAACGTTCTCAGAAGGAATACTGTTGTCACTACGAAAATCTATTCATGTTATTCTCAGAACAGTTCTGAGAACATCTCATTAAGGCTCATTTCAGTGGTCCAGGTTTGGTTCATTCTCACAATAGAGCGCTTACACTCTGTTCTCAGAACCATTCCTGACATGCTTAATTATGGTCATGTAAACAGGGTTAATGTTAGTGACAACAGGTAGCATATTTCCAGGCTTGATAACAGAGTACCTGTTAGGAGCTAACCCCCTAACCGCTGGTTATACTGGAAACCATACAATATGTATAGTGAGATTCTAGGTATACAGTAGCTAATAATGAATGGTGGTCTAATAGATAGTCTAGCCTATTTATTGTAAGATTTTTATATGAGGTGTTTGTTGTCATGATGAATGGGAAATGGCTAGTTATCAGTGGGAGTATATATTATTTTGTAATGATTGTTGTTTGAGAGGACAGACATTATCAGTATTCAGCATTGCACAACTTTCTGTTTAACGAGTTAAGGGACCACGGTGGCTTGCTAAACTAGAGGTCCTGTGTTCGATCCCTGCGTTGACCGAGAAAGTTCATCGAGATTTTCTGACGTGGTCCCACCTTATCACTGGTGCAAGACAGACGACTTTGAGTTACTTGCCCTTGACCAAAAATCTTTATAAACAGGCTATAGGGATTTTTTTAAACATATCATTTTCAAATTTGGTAGGAAGCATTGTGGTCATGAGAGGACAGACCCTATCGATAATCAGCATTCTGGAACTTTCCATTCCAGAGTTACCCCCTATGCCAAATGGCTTGTGAATGGAATAAAGGCTACAGTTTTCAACAGATGTTTTCCTAAGCTTATGAATACGATAGAGATTAGAAAGGATCCTTGTCAAATGTGGTGAACAACCAAGTTTCCCTGCTGTCTAAGCAGATAAGCTGTCGTCTAAGACAATTCTTTTATTAAAGCAAAGCTGCTGTGTGATTATCTTTGTAATTAGGTTTAAAAAAGTTCTCACCAAATGACCGATTTTTGTTATTTGTGCTGCTCACCTAACATTCAAAAGTAGACTTGGCCTGTAAACTGGACAGATTTGTTAGTAGGATTATGATTACAAACCAGTTCAGTGCAGCTAAAAGGCTATGATTAAGGATTATTTGGATAATCAACAAGTTATTATTCACCCTTGTAAACCTGCTGTAACTAGATTGATTTAGGATACCATATAGTTTTACACGTTTTTTTTTTAATACACCAACATTTTCATGTGGACCTTTATTGTTGTCGCCCCTGTCCGTCCATCCACATTTTATTGTGGGCACTCTACAGGACACAATTTTTTATCCGATTTTGATGAAACTGGAAATACATGTTTACAACCCAAAAATCTTGGTTCCTTTCAATATTTGCGCAGATCGGATTGGAACTTCCTGAATTATGGCCCTTGATTGTACGAAAAATCGCGTTTTTAGCTTGTGGTCCGTCTAGAGGTCACATTTATTTTATCCGATTTAAAAAAATGTTAGAATATATCACCGTTACACCGTATTGTTGGTCAATTAAAATTGTTTACTCATTTCTCATTGTTGTTAGGTCCAAATTTTAGCGCCAATCGGCATGCATTTCTATACACACACAGGGAAATGTGGTTGTATAATGTTGTTCCCTTTGTCTGTCGTGCACAATCTCTTGTGAACACACTATACTATAGACTATATTTGTCATCTAATTTCTTTAAAATTGATATATGTTGTTATTAGTGATACAAAGAAGCTTTGAATGTCACCAATTTCTGCAATTTAAAATTATGGCTCTTGTTTCCCTTTGTAAAAGCTTGTGAATAACAAAAGTTGCCATTATTGAAAATAGTGAAACAAAGAATCCTATTGGATTTTTAACAAATTCTGTTAATCACTACTCACTGAACACTCTTTAACATCGACAGTTACATGTACCATCTAATCTGTATGCATTACGAAGGGTGTCCCAAAATTTTCAGACCTCACTAAGAAATATGTGATGTATTTGAAAATTATTATACTTTTTTTTAAGTGTAATTTACATTGACATCAGTGCACTTGTTCCACCATTTTTCCAACATATTTCAACCATCAGCGAACCACTGTTTGTCACGTGATCGTTATTGTGATCCCAAAACCCCTCCACAGCAGTGTTGACCTCATCATCTGTCTCTAAGGACAAGTTTGTATTGTCGGAAGAGGAAGAAGTAAGAGGAGGCTATATCTGGAGAATAGGCTTGGGGAATCTATCATGATTTCCCCAGAAAACAGATCATGACCATGCCTCTGGAAGACATTCTTTTGAACTTCTTGGGCATTGGTGCCCGCACATGCTCACATGGGTCAAAGTGATGAACTCCGGTTTCATCCTGAGTAAAAATGTGACCTAAGAAAGCATGTGGATCTCTCCGATAGTCCTCGAGAAGCTGTTGACTTACCATGACTCTCTAATGTTTTTGTTCTTCAGTCAACATTCTGGACACCCAATAGGCAGACACCTTGTTCTTGTGCAAATATTCATAGACTATGCGTTCCACTGATGATTTGCTAATGTTGTGTGCAGTAGCTAACTGTCTAACATTTACGCGCCTCTCCTGAATTATTGTGTCGAGAAACGCAGCAACTTTATCTTTGGATGTTCACTTCACAAGTGCTGATCCTGCCCTTTGTAAATTCAGCACACCAGTGTTTGACTGTACTATACAAAGGAGCATTGTCACATAACATTTGTGTCATGTCATCATGAATTAGCTTTGGCGTAGAACTTTTTCAAATGAAGATACTTAATCACGGCTCTGCCTTCAGTTTTTTCCATTTTGAGAGCAAATGAAAGGGTCATGACTCATGACAGTTATAATTAATTGGAAATTATAGGAGAAGGAATTCAGGTTTTTTTTTGCATGTCAAGCATATGCCAAGTTACTTTTCTAGCAACAAGAGCAGATTGGTTGCGTTTGAGTGATCGGTTCATGGTGAGACTGGAAAATTTTATTTTTTATTTTGTCTTGTTTCTTTACCTGGATGTATATACAAATATTAATAAGAAACAAGTAATTAAATGTAATTTTATTTGGCCTTACACCTCCTTCATAAATTTTCACTTTTTTGGAGATAATTGCATAAAATTATGAAATATGATTTAACAACTGAAAACTGCATTGTTTCTTTTCATCATGTTTTGTCAACCCAGACCCCAAAAATATGATGTTATTGTTTTTGTACACATTGCCGCAGACCCTAAAAATATTACTTGTACACCTGTACATGTATTTATATGCATATATGTCATGATACTCTGTGTCATGTGTACATGTAGGCTACGCAATCAACTTTCCAAAGCCAAGTTTTCATGTCTGTATTTGCCATAGTGTGTGGGACTTAATTTATTTGTTTGCTGCTGTCTGCAGTTTGCTTCCTATATAAGGAACCTGTAGATAATAGTACAACACACCATGTTGATGAACTATATCAACATGTTGTTGTGCTGTGAATGACTCTTCATATACATGTATAGCCTGACCTCTAGGTCACAGTATAAACACACTATATATATATATTGATAGGTTGTTTTTCTGTTGGAGATCATACTGACCACATGTGACGAGCTAGACTATGATGAAGGAATAAACTACTTGTTATTCTATATTCAGGAACACATTCCACACAAACATCGCTCGCATGTAGCTTGATGTAACTGGATTGCTATTGTTTTATACAGGTTATGCAACTTGTTATTGTTTGTTAGAGCTGTGCATCTAATGATTTGAATTGATCTGGATTTGAAAGTGCATTTCTCATCAGTTTGTCTTTATTTTAACATACTGCTGGGTTCTATTTTTACCAAATATTTTGTTGTTAAACGAATGAGGAGACATTAGCAAGACTGGAAGCATATCAACATCATGATCTAATGCATTTAGCATTGTTTTGTGAAAACAAGTGGTTCCTGCAAACTCTGTAAATTAAAATAACATGTACATATATTTAAATGGATTTTTGTGTCTTCGTGTTCTGGTATTTACAAATACATTTATGGATAGGTCTAGCTGCATTAAAGAGAAATAATAATACAGTGTTTCAATTCCAGCCCAATTATTTGCTTTTGTTCCTTTATTCCAACAGTTTTCATTTCTAAAGATTAAAGGATTAATTTGGATAGCTAACAAGAAAAAAAGATGTCAACTATTTGATATTAAGTCTAGAAAAACTATGATGTTATGCTCCTAGTGCAGACTGCTGAATATCAATCAATCTGTTTACTGTTTTTAAGACCGGCTAATTTTCTGTTTGACACGATAACTGAGTCTATAGTCAGACTCACCCTGTGGATCGATCAATGTGTTTACTGTTTATTTGACTGGCTAATTATAAGTCTTTACGGAAGGATAATAGAGTCTGTAGTCAGTAACAACCAGTGTTTTATTAATCATGGTAAGTGTGTAAATTTCTCTGCAGACAGCTAGTGCTGGGTCATTGACCTCTGTAATGTTGTTTACATTTTCTGCTGAGTTAATAAATGCATTTGCCAGCAGCCCTGACATAGGTACAGGTAGCTTGTACATACCTTATGTAACTTTGGTTATGAAATTCTCTATTATGTAGCTTACATAGTTCATTTGGTGTTATTTATCATTACATTTCTGGTCAAACTAGTCGTAATTTGTATTAGAATATAATTCAGAACTGATCGTCATTTGAAGGATTAGTAATCACTCCCAGAGTAAAATATTGTGGAGAGATACTAATGTCCTCTCGACACAAACTAGGTCATTTTGGGACTAACATAAGTTTCAATTTGAAATCTTTTGATGGGCCTTTTTATACACCCACATTGAAATTTGGTCATATATTGTCATCGCCCCTGTCCGTCTGGAATCCACAATTGCTTGTGGACGCTCTAGAGGCTGAAGTTAATATCTGATTGACTTTAAATTTATATACAGTGTTTAAGGCCATGAGACGAAGAAGCCTATTGATTTTCAGTGATTTCCGATAATTACTGCCAGAGTTCAGTTATGCCCCTTGATCACTTCAAAAAATCTTGTGGACGCTCTAGAGGCTAAAGTTAATATCCGATTGACTTTAAATTTATACACAGTGTTTACGGGTTTCGAATCCCCGGTTGTAGGTGACAAGGAGTAGGTTCGCTTGTCCAACCTCGTGGGTTTTCTCCGGGCGCAAGCGAATTATGTAAATAAAATTAAACCATATATTAGTCCCGAAATGACATAGTTTGTGTCAAGTGGACGTTAAACCCCATTTCTCTCTGTCTCTCCCAGTGATTTTCAATGATTTCCGATAATTACTACTAGAGTTATGGCCCTTGATCACTTTGAAAAATCTTCTCGACAATGGCCCTTGATTACTTTGAAATATCTCGTGGATGCTCTAGAGGATAAAGTCAATCAATATCCGATTGACTTCAGATTTATACACAGTGTTTAAGGTCATGAGACGAAGAAGCCCAGTGATTTTCAATGATTTCTGATAATTACTAGAGTTATGGCCCTTGATCACTTTGAAAAATCTTGTGGATGCTCTAGAGACCAAAGTTTTCATCCGATTGACTTTAGATTGATAAACAGAGTTTAAGGTATATTGATTTTCTATGAACTTTGATAACTTGAACAGCTAAATCCATGATATTTTATGTTTCGTATACTAAATGTTACCATGGGGCAAAACTAAAAGCCAAACAATTTCTAATGATTTTCGGATAATTACTTAATCAGTTGTTACTCTTAATCAGATTTTATTGTATTATAAATGTTTCATTACCGACAATAGAAAAAATATGCGACAACTCTTGTTGACTGCTCGGATGATTTAGCTGCTGCCTGGCAACCTATCTTTTAAAAATCCAATTGAATCCAAATTGGAAGATTGTCTATCATCGATATATTTTGGTTTTGTTTTCTTAAAGATACATTATGGGAGATTCGATAACGACTTGGCAGTTATCACTGTAATAGTTAAAAACTAGGAAATTTAAAGGCAATTTGCTGAAAATTTCATTCAGATTGATCTACTATGAACCGAGAACTAAGTAAGCGGTTGAAATTTCCGCCTAGCCTCGATCATCATTACTAAAGTCAGTACGATAAAGATCGCAGGCTAGCATAACCATCTAGTGTTGATTATGGTCTGGATAGGTTAATTAATGTCTAATTGATAATTTAGATAACATTTCAGGTTTAAAGGAAGACCTGCAATAGACAGATTTAGCTCTTGCATAATGTGTGTTTAATTGAATGTTGAATAATCGATTTGAGTAAATTAAGTTACTGTCGGAAAAATGGAAATGTTGATCATCCACAAAGTTGTTGAAGTCTTTTGTCACTGACATCAGGTAAAAAAAGAAATGGCTTTATAATGGCAAACAGGAGCCGTGGTTTCTCTCTGTGTAAGACGCTGACTCACTAACAATGAGAAATGAAGTTTTAGCTTGGCAAGGGATAGTGGTCTAGTCATACTGATTTCACAGAAAACCATAGTCCTGTGTACACATAAAAGATTCCTAGACAGTCGGAATTTGAAAAAAGAGTAGACCATGGGGATGCTGCCGAGCCAAAATTTCCCTCATAGCACACTGTATGGCGTAAGCCCGTCTTCATTAACCCAGTCAGTGCAGGAAAGTAGGATGTTAAACCCCATTTCCTAGAAATCGATGAAATAAAATGGTGAATGGCATTTGCACTCCATCCATGAAACCGAACTTCACTAAGGAAGCTAATCCACAGATTGATCACAATGCTATTTCTTAATAATAGTTATAAAAAAAAATGATAATGTAAATAGAATATACATGTACTGAAAATTTCAGTCAAATTGATCCACCCTGAACCAAGATATTAGCTGTTGAATTTTAGGCTAGCCTCAATCATCATTACTAAAGTCGCTACGAAAAAAAACAAAGTTTTGATTATCCATTTTTACGTTTAATTAGTTTTCAAAAAATGTATTCCAATCCACTAAATATTGCAGGCTAGCGATGGCATCAAGAGTTGATTATAGTCTGGATAAGTTAATGAATGTCTAATTAATAATTTAGATAACATTTCAGGCTTAAAGAAAGACCTGCAATAGGCAGATTTAACTCTTGCATAATGTATGGCTAATATTTATAATTATATTTAAAGTGTTTTACTTGTGGGCCCACTGATGAGTAAATTCGGCCCTGGACAGAAATAACTACCTAGCATTGCAAACCTGACAGACCATAAGGAAAAACTGTTTGTTTCACATTTAAAATCATCAAATTAAAAAAACATATTCAAACTAATTTACCCATCAAACATTTGCTTAAAATCACTCTCAAACCATTTTAATTGGACTTTTTTGTCATGTAACTTGATTGAGGGAGGGCCCATTTACAGATTGTATTTGTCGTTACTTGTTGTCCATTTACCATGTCTAAGTAAAGTCTTGGATTATCTTCTGTCAACCTCTTTTTTAGCCGTTTAATCACAGAGTCTGTTGTAAATTTAAACCCTCACTGCTCCCACAATGGCTAACCATTCGATCAAGAAATAACAAGTGCTCCTAAGAGTCAAGTTGGCAGACATCATTTTTGCCCAGTACTTGCCCCGTGGGTGTTTATCAGGGAATCCAGTATTTTTCTAGTATTATTGGGCGTCTCTACTTTCCATATACCAAAATTGCCATACTATTTCTGGAAATATCTACCCTATAAATACTTTTGTGGGAAAGTATCTTTAAAAGCTGAAATACTTCCTTTTACTCACATGGTAGTTTAGTACTTGTATAACCCCAGAATTAATTTCACTTCTGTCATCTAATAGTACAATACACTGAAAAAAATTGTTTGTTTGATATTATGAATCATCTCAGAGATTATTATTGACAAGTAATAGTTCTATTATATAATGCCATGATCATTAATTACAGATTAGGATGATATATATTGATATAAACAACTTTTAATTTACTAAATCAATAATTAGATGTTTGTATTCCACTTATAATATTCTAATCTAGTTGCTTGCAGGAGGTTATACACACCTATTATTATTGACATGCATTTTTAAATAAAAAAAACATGGAAGTCAGGTATTATTATTGGATTCAAACGTATAAACATGACGTAATTGACTTATGGATATTCCGTGTAGCAAAGCTGTATATATATATATATATATATATAGTTGTGCCATAATTGTATGCTGTAGCCCAGAGCTTCATACAGGCTTGATAGGGTCAACAACATCTCAAGGCTACAGTGTGAAGCCTGCTTACTGACAGAATGGTTATTATCCCAACTGTACGATTAGTAATATAGTAAATATAGTAAGCGTACTATTTATTTGTGCTTATTACTGAACAAGGATATATTTGATATTTCACATGGTAAGCTTCCTTATTCTAATTTCTATTCATGTCTTTGAAGGAAATATTTTTCTGAATTGAACAATTTACCGGTAATTGTAAATATATCTCATTGTCCAATTCTTACACTAAATATAGTAATACAGTAAGGATTCACAATGAAAGGCTTATATATACATGTAGTAAACAAGTGTTCATTTAATATTAGAGCTAGCAAACACCTATGGGATTTTCAGATTATCAGGATTTATTTTTCTCAAATAAAATGTGTAATTAAATAAAAGTATAATCAAAGAATGCAATATTTGCGTCATATTTTTCAATATTCATTCACAAGTTGGGAAAAAAAATCACGTATGGTAATGAGAAAAAATTCAAAAAACTCGGCGTTGAGAAAGAGTAGCAGTTCTTTTAACTTGTATCAAATGGTAAGATTGAATATTTTTATTTGATATCATTTTGAGATTATTATTACAGACAGGTATTATTTTTGAGCACTGTCATCATATTTCTATGGTAATCTACGTGCTATTATTATCCTATATCACCAATCATTAAACAAGCAACATATAAGCTTCAAGTCGCAGGTCCCAGTTATGCATTTATCGGTCAATATCTAATATTTCATTTATAAGTCCATGCTGAAATGTACTAATAATATCAATGATACATGTAGGTAATCTCCTGGCTTGGATTTAGTTTAATATCAGGTAATATCCCGGCTTGGATTCAATATCAGATTAAAAACAGGGCCCCATCAAAAGATTTGACTGGTTTGTTAAAATCATCTGCTGAGGATGCTGAAAGTTTTGAGTAGAACTGATATAAGAGATCAGTGTACAATGAGGGAAATTTTGCCTCGTTTTTTTTATCCCATCCAAATGACTAGACCACCTTCCTTGTCAGCCCCTCTGTCCCATACCACTGACGCATTGAAACCAACACCAGGATTTATTCTAAGACCTCCTGTCCAGCTAACCCTTTACTCACTGAGCTACTGTGAGTACCTATGCCATTTAGAGATTAAACTTGCAGAATATTGTAATTTCTAGGGATTCAAAATTCCCCAAGTGATGATTAGCAATAGCAGCTTTAGAATAATTGATTCAGAATACATTCTTTAATTCCATACAATGACTTGAAGTTAATCATTAAATATTTATTTTGAAAATGTTACATCAGTACAGATGAGTTAAAATAAAACTTGTTGATATGTTTTTATTATCAAGAATTTTGTTTCAGTACATTGACCAGTCAATATTATTTTCTGTGTGTTAATTACGTAACTGGATTTTCTCTCCCAATATTGATTTATTGTAACTGGTAGTCATGATTATCCAGTGTAGAGTATTATACTTATTTGTAAATAGAAAGCAAGACTTGATGTTCAAATGTGTCTACAGATTATTATCAAGAACATATTGAGTTGTTTACAATATCAGACATTTTAATAATACAATATACGTAGGTATACGTAGGTATGGATCACTTGAGGCATTCCTGGCAAACATTTTATTCTTTAAAGAAGCATATAAATTCTTCCATATTTTGCTAATTCCTAATGAATTTTTATAGTTGAATATATTAAAACAATTCAGAAGATCATAGTTGCCAAGGAAAATGGATTATTACATAAAGCTAAACTATTAGTAGCTGTTCACATTTTATTAATTAAGCATGCAGAACAGTTGTCCATATATATATTGAGACTGTCCTTTTATTTAGTTCATAGAGACTGTCCAATATTTAATTCATTTTGTTGTCAATATAGAGATTCTCCATTATTTAGTCCATTCAGTACTATAGAGACACAGGCATTTGAAGGGATTAAAATAAAACTTCTTACTACTGCTTGACTATATATTATATTATATACTATAATATATAGTCAAGCAGTAGTAAGAAGTTTTATTTTAATCCCTTCAAGTGCCTGTGTATAGAGACTGTCCTTTGTTTAGTTCATTCAGTTTTTGTTTTTAGACATTATAATTAAATAGATATATATTTATTGAAATCTTTCAAAATACTCCCTTAGTTAAATTTACCAAATTCCTTAGAACTTTCATTTTTCATTTGTAGTTTGTAGTGTGATAATTGATTTCCCAACCCAAAATTTTGTTTATTGTTATTGTAGATTGTCTTCTATAGCAGTACATTACAACTAAGAATTATTTCTAGAAATTAAAACATATAGATTTAACTTATCTCATTTAGCACAATGTTTTTTAACAGAAATGGTTTAAGCTTTCAATTATTTGGGTGCCTGCTTTCAATGAAAAATTTTGAAATATAGCAATGCTATTCAATTTATATTTGTCCAATATGTAAGATTTAGATAATTAGCTTTAATCAGAATTACTGTATTTGGAACAAAGTAACGAGTGTTTGAAGTTTTGACAAGATAGTCTCTATTGTCAAGTAACATTGCTACGATCATAAACAAAATCTCGATTTTAACATTAAATTATTAAATGGCCCAAGTTTTCTAATACATTCCTTGAATTTTAGTCATCAACCTTATCATGTATTCATTATGTCTGCCTTTCTATTTCCCCATGCCATAAAGACAGTTGTTGTGGCTATAAAATAATATATGAAAAATATGACATATTAAACTATATAATGTTACCAACATATTGAACTACATAATTTATTGTTGTGTTTTTTATTTTACTGTATAATTTTTACCATACAATTTAATTGAAATAAACCCGAGTTAATTAACATCTCTCCCAGTTATTGGAGATCAATTTATTGTTTTGTTGCATGATTTTGTGTTTATGTGGTGGTCTTTAGCTTGGGTTTAACATACTTCTTACTTCATTAAGGATGGGTTTGGCGGTCTATTGGTTAACGCTTGCATGTGAAACCACAAGATCTGTCATTGAGTCAAGTGGTGTGGTTCCAATCCCGCGGGTTTTCTCAGGGTCCTACGGTTTCCTCAAAAGAATTATTGAAATAAAATTGGACCATATGTTAGTCCTGAAATGACCTATTTTGTGTCAAGTGAACGTTAAACCCCCATCTAAGTGGACTGACCAATTTTATCCAAGTTAAGCTAAGATCCGAGTTAGCCGAAGACTGAAATTCAATCTTAGCTCGATAATAATTGATTCAAATGCACATTTCAAGCTTTTCTTTGTATATGTGTGAGTAGATAACTTCCATTTTGTCGCCATCTAAATTTTCCCGCAAAGTGTCTCGTACAGCAGACAGTAAGTTTTGAATTTTCTGGGAAAATTCTATTATTGCTCCGCGTCAAATAGGCTGCTTTGGGTCAAAATGATAGAAGAAAGTATTTTGGGACGCGGTGCATGGAATACCTAACCGCGTTTTAGACCATCGGAACACAACTGACCGTGAAATTCTGAACATACTGGCGATCCGACTTAGGCGAAAGAAAAAAGCCTGAATTTGATCAAATGGATCGAACATTTTGATCCGAGTTGAGCAAAGATCTGATTTATACAAATCTGACTTATGGGAGGTTTACTGTATATCGTCCCATCCAAATAATTAAACACTTCTCCTTGTAAGGCTCTCTGTCTTGCACCAGACAAGGGGGAAACCATCTGAAAAATCCTGATGAACTTTCTTGTTGATCAAGCATGACAAATACGACTGAAACAAGATCCTATTATTTGCTGTTTATTTGCCCTTTACGTACAGGTAACAGTTTAGTTGTATGTAGATTCAAATTTATGATAACATTAAAAATATCCTGTACTACTAATTAATTATATGTACTGTACGTATGTATATATTATATACACTACATATAAGATCTTATTGACATGTAGGTAAGGCAACAAAGGCTTAAAGACCCAGGGTATGTTTGTACGATAATGATAGATTAGTATCTATATATATAGTACACCTGTAAAAATTTAGTTTTGTGTTGATGAGTTGAGGTGAATGACCAGGGTCAGTGAAAGTAACAGGGTATAATGATATAACATGCCGAGGTCAATAATAATACACTTTTTATTTATATCTTGTACTTTCCGTATATGATGTAATAACCACCAGGGCACTTATAAAATATTGGGGGTGGGGGGGGGTAAAAAAAGGGGAGGTTTTTACGACAGATTTAACCAACATTATTAAATTCAATCTCAAAAACAATTTTCTATTTTTTTGAAGCATAAAAAAGCAAAATAAAACTTGATCAACAATTCAAAATTATGGTCATTCTGTATATTCTCTGCATAATTTTAGTCAAAAAAAGACACATTTAAAGGACAATATTGGTGCCAGTCATTATCACATATGTGATAGAGCTGGTTAAACACATTCCAAATATAATTTTAACACAGAGATGATTGCTACGGTAGCTGAGTAATACAGGTTTCCTGAATCGGAAGTGACGAACGCCAAAGGATAACACAAGTCATGCCTCTATATAACTGACTGATGTGACGAGTGATAACAGATACACCAATATTGTCATTTAAATGAGAATGGTTTTAATACAACCAGTTGCAGCAGGGTTGTTAACGTTGAATGCATCCTTATCTTTGTTTCAGAACACCTCATTTCTATCAAGAATTTATCATAATGTGTAATGTTTATTAAAGATGCATTATGTAAGAGCTAAATCTACCTATTGCAGGTGTTTATTTTTGCTTCAAATATTGTAAAAACTATTATTTAGACATTTATTAATGACAAGCCCGTTATCAACTCTCTACGCAATCAGATGGCAGAGATTCAAATCTATTAGAATACCCTTGAGATTTAAAAATTTAACGATAAAATGGATAATCAAGACTTAATTGTGTTTGTTCAGTACCGTTCCTAAATGTACAATAATAAACAATCACTCAGAATAAAGTAATTGGAATGAAATTTATAATATATTCATTTTTCATCATCTATTTTTAAACCATAGCAAGAACAGCCAGTTCTTTATCGAAATCTTACAGAATGCCCCTTTAAATAAATGCCTGCAAATTGCAATATTTCAGTATTTAAAACATGCACATTAATAAATAAGATTTGAAGAGGCCAATAAAATAATAATATTTGTTTTATGTTTGTGTATTATAGGAGTGGAATACGGCGATGAACACTGATGAGGGCTTAGCTGTTGTAAAAGAAGGATATCTCTCCAAGAGAGGTATGTATATTATTTAATTATGACATTAGTCTTAGGGTAATAATGAGATTACTAGGATCTTCCCATTATCCCTAGCTGTCTCAGGAAGAAAGCAAGTTATGTTGGACGACTAATTTAGCTATGTACAGTAAATCGTTAATATATAATATCAGGAAAAATTCTGTTTTTACAGTAAAATATTTTCATGTTTTAGCAATGTAAAAACAGAATTTTTCCATTTATGTGTTGAGTCTTATAATTAATACCATTGAGTGTCATTTGCATTTTTCAGACATCTAATTTTTATACCTTAATCCACAACTAAAATATACTTAAATTGATTGTTTTACATTTAGTTCAGAAAACAAAATCAAAATATCAATAGTAGATAATAGTTTGACTTGGATTCAGACAGGTTAAATGTAGGCCTGCCTATCAAAAGATTTTAGCAAAGATTATAGGTGACAAATTTTCGGTTCATCATATCTTTAAAAAATACAGAACGGCATTGAACCATTTTTGGACTGATATTCCTTTTTTTAGAGATTCTTTTTTCACAGTAATGTAATTTGCAAGGGATTAAAAAAATACCTCAAATGATGATCACAATCAGCTAGAGATGTTAAAACATAATGAAGACAGGGAATATTGCCAATTATTTTAATAGTTAAGCTTACAAGTTAACAGGCATATCAATCATCCAGCTCTTCCATACAGTAAATCACCCAAATTTATTAAAAATAAAATCCCCTATCAACATACTGATTTTATTTATTTTATCATTGAGGTCCATGCTGACCTGTGCTGTTTCAGGGATTCTTCCACCCACTCCTACTACATTTAGTGAGAAGTTAATTCGGCGCAGTCTTGGAAATATTTAGCAGTACATGCGTATACTACATGTATATAATTCATTACCTGAGAATCACTTTTGGAGGAAATTGAAATATGGGTTGTTTGGTAGATTAAACACCCAAGATCTACTTTCATATAACAATTATTATATTAGTTGTTGTTTTTTTTTAACTTTTTGTATTGTGCCATTTCTACCATTTCTGTGAGATGCAGACAGTTCTGTTTCTTATTAAAGGACATAGAACAGTCTGGTCTGGGCCCACGATAGGTAATTGTTTTTTATCTTCAACTATAAAACTTGGAAATGCCAAACTTGGTATATTTAGACCAATATTTGAATTCCGAAAAGTTCTGTGGTTCTTAAACTTTGAAGGCCATTTTCTTGGAAACGTCTTTTGATTTCAGTTGAATACTGAAAAGTTCTGTAGTTCTTAACATTTTCGTCGAAATGACTTTTGTAAATATATAGTCTGGTTCGTAGATAACACATACCAAGTTTGTTTAATAAATTAAATAATATTTTTCAGGAGAGCACATTAAAAACTGGAGAAAGAGATATTTTATACTTCGGCAAGATGGATCTTTTCTAGGATTTCGTGCTAAACCTGAAAATGGGGATCTTAGCGATCCTCTTAACGATTTCACAGTCAAAGGTAAATAAGTTAGTTTTATATGTGTTTAGATTATCCTTGTAAAGTAAAGTTCATAATGTACTTTTACTATGCAGTATAAATAAGATACTGTCTAGTGCAAAATGAAATTAGAACTTTATGGGTCTATGAGCAACATACATCTGGGGGGGGCCTTAGAGTTGGAAAAAAAGAATTAGAACTTGATGGATCCTCTAGACATTATCTAGTCGAAAGAATAGAATTAGAACTTAAAGGGTCCAAGTTACATGTACTTATTGCACATTTTTACTGGACAGCGGCACTATGGTCTACTCTTACATAGAATTCTTTTAGGTGCACGTCAATGTGTACACAGGACCTTGGTTTTTCATCTCATTCGAATGACTGTACGCTATCCCTTACAAGGCCTCCCGTCCTGTACCACTGACAAGGGGGAACCTCACCGGAAAATCCTGATGAACTTTCCTGGCCAACACCCGGATCAAACACAGGACCTGAAGGTTAGCGAGCCAATGTCTTACTAAGCCACGGCTCCCTAACTAGTGAGTGTGAATTAATGAGTATTGCTACTGTTTGACGCCTGTTTCCCAATCTTTTGTATTATACGTACTGATAGAAAATCAATTTCAGATGAGTTATTTGCCCTTGAATTAGAGATTTGGATTCAGGCCAGTTATTTAATAATTTCAGTTTATTGTTATTTTTGAAAGACTTTCCACGTTACACTTACAGGCATCCATGGATACCGTCTAGTCATTGTCCTTGGTCCTCACCCTCACTGTTCTTTGAAAATGGGGGTCACGGTGGCTAAGTGGGTAAGACGCTGGCTCACTAGCCCGGAGGTCGGATATTCTATCCCTGCATTGGCCGAGAAAGTCCATCCAGATTTTCCAGTGTGGTTCCCCCTTGTCAGTGGTGCAGGACGGAAGGCCTGACAAGGACAGCTGTCTAGTCATTCGGATGGGATGAAAAACCGAGGTCCTGTGTACATAGTGGCGTGCACGTAAAAGATCCCTTGACAGTTGGAATTCGATATAAGAGTAGGCCGTAGTGCCGCTGTCCGGGCAAAATTTCCCTCATAGCACACTGTATGGCGTATGTCGTCTTCATTAGCCCAGTTCGGAGCAGAACAGTAGGACGTTAAACCTCATTTCATTTCATTTCTTTGAAAATGTGTTGGTCATTATTTCGTGATTTTGTTCCTGACTAGTTAATTATAACTTTTACTTCACAGATTGTCAGTTAATGAAGTTAGAGAGACCAAAACCCAACACATTTATTATTCGAGGTTTACAATGGACAACAGTTGTAGAAAGAATGTTCTGTGTAGACAGTACAGAGGAAAGGTGAGAAAACATTATAGATAGATCATTGCACACTATATCATTATTGATATAATATGTAATACTACTCTTGCCAAATTACTGTTATCAATTTAGGGACAAATTGTTGACAAGTGTCATTTATAGACAATGCAATTTTTTCGACAATTAACAATCTAGTGTTTCGTATCATGTTAATTAAATCAAACATAACCGTAACCGACAGTCTTATTGGATAATTTACATGGAGTCAGATGGATGATTTCATGTCTAAAGTACAGCCGAACGACAGAAATAGACTCTGGCTTATTTGTCAAAGTATCCTATTTAGTGTTCCATTATCGACACAGTAAACTCAAAATGAAACTACTCATCAACTCAGATAATTATACCTTGACCTAGATCCCTTTTACATCACTGACCTAAATAACACAATGGTATGACCTGATTAAACATGTTATTTTTACACAATTCATATTTGAAATGTTTTATGTTAATAATAGAGAGGAGTGGATCCAGGCTATTAAGTCAGTATCAGAAACATTAAAAGTCGAAGAAGAAGAAGCGTGTTCACCGTTAGAACGAGCCAAGAAAAAGGTCAGTTTACGGGGATGAACTATGATATCAATAAACTTGGCCAAGTGGTCTAATTTAATTCAAGGGTCCTGTATTTAATCCAACTCTTGGAACATGTGACAAGGAGCAGAGTTACTTAACTTACATCGTCAAGTTTCTGGTTGGGGGGTTATCTCGTTTGTGGGGGCTTGGAATGGATGGCTGAATGGTTAGCACGTGCGCGCTGTATCATAAAGTCTGTCATTGAGTCAACTGGCGTGGTTTCGATTTCCCGGTTGTACGTGACAAGGAGTAGTGTCGTCTGTCCAACCTTGTGGGTTTTCTCCGGGTCCTCCGGTTTCCTCCCACTGCTAAAGACCCCTATGTGCAAGCAAATTATGGAAATAAAATTGAACCATATGTTAGTCCCGAAATGATCTAATGGACATAAACCCCATCTCTCTCTCTCTCTCTCGCTCTCCCTTTCTCTCTGCGGTTTATTCCCATTACTAAAGATCCCTTGTGCAAAAGTGAGTTATTTAACTAACAGAGAGGACATTACACCCAATTTTTCTCTCTCAAATACTCTACTTACATTATGAGGCCTATTCCAAGTCACATGACACATAAATTTATGACCAATGATAGACATATAGCTAATTTTCAACAGAAACATGTAAGGGCTATGTCCCAAAACACAAACGAATATGTTATTTATATCTTGAGGTCCTTGCAAGTTCCGGTTATTGACATATATACACATCGAAACAGAAGATTTGGAAATACTGTCAATGAGTTTTCTTCAGTATTTTGATTTTTATCAACTATGTTTTAATCAAATTTGGATGTTATTATTTTTTCAGTCACTGGAGGATTTTGAATTTTTAAAAGTGTTAGGTAAAGGGACATTTGGTAAAGTTATTTTATGTAAAGAACGATGTACCAACCAGTTATATGCTATCAAAATACTAAAAAAAGCTGTCATTATTGCTAAGGTAAGACTTCTATCAATATCCGACATGTTTCTTCATTTCATTTCAGGGGGGTTGGATGGCTGAATGGTTAGCGTGCGCGCGCTGTATCATAAAGTCTGTCATTGAGTCGACTGGCGTGGTTTCGAATCCCCGGTTGTACGTGGCAAGGAGTAGGGTCGCCTGTCCAACCTCGTGGGTTTTCTCCGGGTCCTCCGGTTTCCTCCCACTGCTAAAGACCCCTCCACGCAAGTGAATTATGTAAATAAAATTAAACCATAGGTTAGTCCCGAAATGACCTAGTTTGTGTCGAGTGGACGTTAAACCCCATTTCTCTCTCTCTCTCTCTTTCATTTCATTTCAACATCATATTATCACTTCAGTGGGGAAACAACAAAGTTGTTAGTGAGCATAATCGGTACACCGTTGTTGGTAATGTCCAATAAATGAGTTTATTCCACAATACTCACGTCTACACAGCTTGCATTTTGTAATTAAAGGGCCAATCTCGATTATATTTTGGAGAATAAAACTGCTTGATTTTGTTTTAAAAGCCCTTAAAATCCTCTACCTTAAGGTCGAGCAACTAACTCAATATACATGATATGTTTTCAAACAACTTAAACCCATCAGTCTTATCTCGAAATGGAGGCTGGTGTCCCTAGCTGTATTATACGGTGTCTGAATAAAACTAGACTTTCATTTTATAAAAATAACATGTAGGTGAAATTTACCTTTTGTTATCAAGTGCAGCAAGTGGGTCATGCACTGTATAGACCTCTAAAGGAACGACAATAGATTATCAGGTCACCCAATGAAAAGATTGACCCAAAATCTTAAAAGGATTATGTGTCTGGATATGCAGTTTTGACATTCACGTCCAAACGACTCAATACACCACTTCTCAACATTTTGGTGTTTAAATTTCATACGTACACAGACTTTTATTTCTAAGACTGTTAAAATTGGAATGGTCCCTTTAAGTATCATTTGAAATAGTTAAATCTGGCCTTTTTTATATACATTTTTCTTTTTTGTTTCCAGGATGAAGTAGCTCACACATTAACAGAAAATAGAGTATTACAACATACAAAACATCCATTTTTAACAGTAAGTTGTCATTTGTATAGTTTCATATATATACTTTACATCACCACTGTTGGCCGGTTATTACTATAACTTGTGTAAACTCTAAAGGCCAAAGTTATCATAGGTGGCAGAACGGTTGAACTCGTGCACTTTAGAACTTAAATTTGGCATTGATTAAAGTGGCGTGGTTTTGATTCCCCACTTGTTCGTGACAAGGAGTAGTGTTACCTGTCCAACCTTCTGGGTTTTCTCCAGGTCCTCGAGTTTCCTTCTTTTGCTAATGTGCAAGCAAATTATTGAAATATAATTGTACCATATGTTAGTCCCAAAATTACCTAGTTTGTGTTGTGTAGATGTTAAAGCCCATCTCTCTTTGATTAACTTGATATTTATTCATGTTGTTTATGCTCACGAGACAAAAACAACTATGATGTATCAATTACCTTTCTATAATGAATTCAAATTTATTTAACAATTTTCTTTTTTCAGCAATTGAAGTATTCATTCCAGACAGCCGATCGACTATGTTTTGTGATGGAGTATGTCAATGGGGGAGAGTTATTTTTTCATTTATCAAGGGAACGTGTTTTTTCTGAGGATCGAACACGATTTTATGGTGCTGAAATCATATCAGCTTTAGGTTATTTACATCAAAATGATATTGTTTACAGAGATTTAAAGGTAAGTGGACATTATTAACCAATTAGGGGGGTTGGGTGGCCGAATGGTTAGCACATGCGTGCTGTATCATACGGCCTGTCATTGAGTCAACAGGCGTGGTTTCGAATCCCCGGTTGTACGTGGCAAGGAGTAGGGTCGCCTGTCCAACCTCCTGGGTTTTCTCCGGGTCCTCCGGTTTCCTCCCACTGCTAAAGACCCCTACGCGCATGCGAATTAATGAAATAAAATTAAACCATATGTTAGTCCCGAAATGACCTAGTTTGTGTCGAGTGGCCGTTAAACCCTATTTCTCTCCCTCTCTTTATTAACCCATTATCATGTGGATTGCTCGAAACTACTGCTCAAATAGATGGCAACAGTTCTATGACTTGGGTGGTTTGAGATAGTCTACAAAGCAGCAGTTTTAGCCATGTGGTTTTGAAAATGAGCTACAAAACTTTTCTATATTATTTCAGGGAACTTGAATTGCGAATGTTTTGCATGTACTAAGTTCCTAAAGGGTTTAGTCAAAACACTATTCAGATACAATACAATTCCTGATAGTGACATATAAAAATATTACCCACGATGTAGATATATGACATTGTTATCTCTGGAATCATACATAACATCTATTGAGATATTAATTATTTGTTAATGGATAGGCCCCTTATCAGCCAATTACTACTGGTAAAACCGATAATCGAAGGATCACTAATTCCTGTAACGTAGATCTTACTATCAATTAAAGCACTGATGAATAACAATTACTAATAGTTATTACACTGCTACGTTTCAACAAGATTTCACAAGTCATTATCTAACATAATAATAAAAAAAACAAATAAATAAAAAGAGCTTGATTTGTAAATCCAAAAACCTTTATATGGAAAGAAAGTGGGCCAAAGATGATCAATGTACGACAGTAGGGGTGCACTGGATAATGAGTCTGAGTGGCGAATCCGGTATCCAGCTGGATAGTAAAATTAACTATCTTGTGCATACCTATACCATAGATAAACAAACCTTACGGAGAAATCTGTTTATAAACATGTTCTTGGCTCAAAATAGTTTAAACTCATTGAAACGGCAATATGGAAGATTAGACAAAGAGCTGACAGTTCTCGCTATAATAGTTATAAAATAGATTATATAAATGGAATATGCTGAAAATTTCAGTCAAATTACTTCACTCTGAGCTGAGAAATCCTCATTTTAATAACACTGTAGCCAAGATTGTCATTGTTACCATAATAAACAATGTCTCGATTACCCATTTTTATGGTTAATCATCAACAGCCATTAAAACCCAGATCGGATTCAAATCTGATGAAAATTAGACCCATCAGATGTCATTAAGAGTTTATTATGGTCTTGTCATGTTAATAAATGTCTAATTAATAGTTTATATAACGTTTAACACCCAAAGAAAGACCTACAATAGGCAGATTTAGATCTTGCATAATGTATGTTTACAAAAATTATTGCTGTGACTTCAGCAAATATATAAATGATATTTATCCAGGCACCTCAAATAAACCAGTTTTGTTTCTTAAATGTATCCTGGACCTGCCAATAATTTTTAGCCATATCACACTTATTCTGCAGATGAAACATAGCCTACTTGGGTAAAGGAGGAAAAGTATGAAAGGTAATAAAATTATGTTTAATCAATAACACACCTGTAAATTTATATTATATTTTTATTTTGTAGTTAGAGAATTTACTACTGGATAAAGATGGACATATTAAAATTGCTGATTTTGGTTTATGTAAAGAAGAAATGTTTTTTGGGGCCAGTACAAACACGTTTTGTGGAACACCCGAATATCTAGCTCCAGAGGTAAATTTATTTTAGTCAGTTTTTTCCGCTTTTGTCCAGCTTGTTGATTTACTTTTCTGAATTCTTGTCTTACTGTGATTCTGATAACTCTTGATGATGAGAGCCACAATGGCTGAGTGAGTAGGATGTTGGCTTGCTAACATGGGGATCACATGTACTATACCGGTATTTGAATTTTCTGGTGTGTTTCCCCCTTACAGTGATGCAGAATGGATATAACGAAAAACTGTGACACTTGATACACAATTACCATGGAGTTGATAATCATATTTGTCTCGTATACTTCTTTCACCAATGGATGAAGGCCAGAAGATTTGTAAAATGGAATAATTTGACATAAGATACTCAATGAAATATGTTAATAGCAGTAGAACTATTGCTACAATACAGACACAACTTTGTACAAGATTCACAATGTTTATTTAGAAATCAGGATATTAACATACAAAATATGACATCTTGCAACAATTTGTGCAAGTAGTAAGTTTGCTCACATAAATTTTCTTGTGAATAAGTACATACTTCTCCTGTTGAAAAAGGGATTGGGCAATGGTGTGTAAATTTTTATATGTACTTGTAATGTTTTGTAGGTACTGGAAGATAATGACTATGGTCGGGCTGTTGATTGGTGGGGTACAGGTGTTGTTATGTATGAGATGATGTGTGGACGTCTGCCGTTCTATAATCGTGATCATGATGTTCTCTTTGAACTTATTTTACTACAAAATGTCAAATTCCCAAGAAATTTATCTGAAGAAGCCAAAGCATTATTAAGTGGTTTATTGATAAAATCACCAAAAGACAGGTAAACTCAAAATTGAAGATCGGCGATTGCTCATAACTTCTTGAGTTATTGCCCTTGAGCACTGCATTATTCACATTATTGATTCAGATTAGTGTAATTACTTCTAGAGTTATCTTCCATGCTCACTTTATACAAACTTGTGAATGCTATAGCAAAAGCCATCATTTAAATTTATGTTTTTCATGATCATTGCGATAAATAAACAATTTCTGATAAATACTTACAAAGTTATTGCCCTTTATGATGTAATAGTCTTGTCAATGTGCAAGTGATATTATTCAGTATAAAGACTGTTTTTTATTATTCACCTAAATATTCACAAAGCGACAACCATTAAAGATACATTATGGGAGATAAGATAAAGAGATGGCAGTTGTCGCTATAATAGTTAAAAAACTAGATAGTGTAAAGGTAATTTGCTGGAAATTTCAGTCAAATTGATCCACTGTGAGCCGAGAAAGAAGCGGGTGAAATTTTTGCATAGTCTCGGTCATCATTACTAAAATCATAAATATAAACAGCAGTCTCGATTATCCACTTTTTCTGATTTAATTATCAGTGGCCGTTAGCGGCATATAGGAATCTAATCCAGCCAACATCGAAAGCTAACCTTGACATCGAGAGTTTATTATGGTCTGGATAAGTTAATTAATGTCTATTTGATAATTTAGATAACATTTCAGGCCTAAAGAAAGACTTGTAATAAGCAGATTTTGCTCTTGCATAATGCATGTTTAAGGACTGTTTTAGTGCATATTTTTGTATTGTTAGAATGTGAAGCAAATTCAGTTTTTGTGATGTAATTTAAAATAATTTTTTTTTGTAGATTGGGAGGAAGTGAAAAAGATGTACAAGATATTATAAGTCATCCATTCTTTGTCTCTATTAATTGGCAAGATTTGTATGACAAAAAGGTAAAAACAATTTTATTTATAATTCTTTTTGGGGTGCAAACATATTTAATATTTCTTCAACCTTGTAATTTAGGTACAAAATAAAGGAATGGATTTAATTAAATCTGTGTTAATTTGTATTGCGAAGTTGGTATCTGTTTTCATTTAAAACTAGGAGCTCGAACTGATATCATCTTTTGTAGATTAGTTTAAGCTAAAAACAAGATTAAAATTAGAAAACAGATCAAACCAACTTCTACATAATATTTTGAAATACAATTTATGGCATAGGGTTTCCAGTGTTTCCACCAATATGAATGGAAATAACACACCAGATCAATCCAGTTCATTTTAATCATTACTGTAGTGAAAGTTGCATTATTTAAAATTTAGATAAAGAGCTGACAGTTCTGAGCGAAGTTATCAGGCTTTGAATTGTTCACGGTATAGTCTTTAATTGTCAAGTACCACTGTTTTGATAATAAACAAAGTCTTTATTATCCAACTTTGACTTATATTATTAAATAAATGGTTTCAATCCAATGAAAATCACAACCATCCAATGGTCTAGAGAGTTAATTATGGGCTTGTCATGTGAATAAATGTCTAATTAATCATTTATATAACATTTGAGGCGAAAAGAAAGACTAGCAATAGGAAGATTAACTCTTACATATATCTTTAAAGATGTTTAGCTCCTTTAATTTTAAAAGAGAGAGAATTACGTTAACCAACCAGTTAAGATGGAATATTTCTTCTCAAATAGCCAAAAGTCTTTCTCTTCCATTAGTGTTATCCGAACAGCCATCACCCTGAAAATGAAAAATATGACTGTGTCACCACTCAAAGAAAAAAAGGGATTAATAACTTGCATGCACCATGAATTAACATACTATTTCTGAATTACTGATTTATCTTAATTATAGATTGAACCTCCCTTTAAACCTCAAGTAACTTCAGAAACAGATACACGATATTTTGACGACACGTTTACTGGCGAATCTGTCACACTCTCTCCTGTTCATCATAACAGTCATTTACCAGCAGTTGCCGAGGAGATGGAGGAACAGATGCCGTATTTTGAACAGTTTTCATTTCATGGAAGTCGTACAAGTCTTGGCAGTAGTAGAATGAGTTTCGAATATTCCTGGCAAACATAATCCTTCTTCACCTTTATCAACATTAAAATATACACTTATTTGGTAGGTATATAAAGCCCAAGTTTTGTTCAAGTTACCAGTTCATCAAATCATTTCCACCTCTGATAGGGTGGCCCATGTACTCACAGAAATACAGTCCACCGCTGATAGTTCGAGACTACCACTGAAGCGTGCACATTCGCCGTGCCGAGACCAACTTTCTGACACTATGATACTATAAATAGCCATGGCACATGCAATTCTCTACAAATCTATCAACTATTACAGCCGTAAAAAATTTATTGTTGACGATTTTGAATAGCAGTAAAATTAAGCTTCTTGGTTATTACAGCAGATTTAGAAATTACGTTCGTTTCATTTTTTAAATCGCTTTATCATTAACTGTACCGTTAAGAGCGGCATCTTTTGGTTTAGTACAAATAATATCTCTGAAACACTCAGGTTAGGCAAGAACATGATACTAGCAGTAGTTTCATTTTACTTTTACAAGCTTCTTAAAACGATTGTTGAGCTACCTAACGTGCTTATTTCTAAATTCAATTTCTTGTTCTAGCTTTCTGTTATGTTTCGTAAAAAAGTAGTCTTGATTATCCCGACCTGTCAATCAGACGTAGAATGGTCGATAGACTGGTTAAGCGAGACTAATTTCAAAACAAGGGCACGTAACCTATCTTTTACTCAAAAGTGTCTGGATGTTATGGACGACTCTTGGAACCAGTTTTCAGTCTATTATTTATACGTGATTAATGGCCATAGCTTATTAAGTACAACATGATCGTTTATTTAGTGACTATAATTGTGTGGAACTGATTTGAGGCTTGGCATATATATAAGTATTGTGGCGTAATTGTCGAGATATATGGAGATATTTATTTATGGTGGGTCACCCTACCTCTGACAGACAGCTCTTTGGATCTTTTAATATTTTTGTCATTACTAATTTTTCTTTTTTTATTTCTTTTGTAGTTGGAAGCTCTATGATTGCTGTATTCTGGAAGAAAATTGTATTATCACCAAATACACGTTAAATATCACCCAATATATCCCAAATTGATGAGATGATAATATCATTATATATATATCATTATATATAAAGATGATATTAATATCAATTAAATTAGTCAGGAAGAGAGAAAGTGGGGTGGGGGACGTTAATATCATCAACAACTTATATATATCCCAGTTAAAAACATTTGCTCAGGAAATATGAATATTATATTAAATCTCTTCTTCAATGAAACAATTTTCTTACATCACCTTTGGATTTCCTATTGGGCTTTTTCTATTTGTTTACCATAATCTGCTTTTCATACAGTGTTAATTGATTTAGTGTCAATCATGAGCTAATTAATATTTGATATCTCGGGGGTTTTATTATTCAACAACCAATGAATCATCAGAAATTGATTATCACCTTACAGTTTCATGTCATCTCTGTAATACACTATTATCATTGATTAATAATTGGATGATATTATTGATATGTTAATCTTTTGATAAACATATATATCATAAATATTTTTTTTAATGCTATAATAAATGTATGAGGTATATATATATTATCTTTAAGCATGTTCTGCCAGATGGTATATAATTAGTTTATAATTTTACAAAATGGCAAAATATAGTGAACAGGCTTGTGTGTACGCCATGGTTGGAATTTCAGCTGGAAGTGAAAACCATGGTGTACACCTGACTTCAGGTAGATATAAATTCCACAATTACAATTAATACTGTATTAATCAGTTTTCACTTTAGAATGTAGAAAATACAAAAATCTGATTAGCTATGTCATGGTGGTCTGCCTGCGTCATTTGCATTTTTCAGAAAATATCAAATTTTCCACGACTTAATCCACTGTATTGATGATTTAACATTTAATTAAGAAAACAAAATCAAAATATAAACGGTAAATAATCTGCCAGGTTGGATTCAATCAGATAAAAAAGAGGCCCATCAAAAGATTATAGGTGGCACTGATCATATCTGGCTTATACCTTCTGAAGAGGATGCAGAATGTTTGAAGTATTTTTTATTCATCATGTCTTTATACATGTACTGAACAGAAATTAATCATTTTTGGACTGATATTCCTTTTATGGGTTCAACTTTTCACATTATTATAGTTTGCAAGGGATTAACAATACCTCAATGACATTGAGAGACTTTAATTGGATGTTACAGGCATATGATATTGAATGTATATTAATTTGTGGACCATTGACTATCTCTAGTTTTAGTTTATTAATTAATGTAGAATGAGTTGAAATCAAAATATTATAATAATTACTGTCAAAATTATTGTTTTGGTGGTGTTTATAGGGTCCACTTCATATCATAGTATCGGGAACAGTAAATCAGTGGACTCTTTAAGTCATAGATACATAATAATATAAGTAACTAGGAGTTATTGTATTAATGTTTTATTATAAAAATGAATAATTTGATTTATTTATAGTTTAGTTTCTAGGCAATTCCAACAAAATGTTTGAAGTATCAAACTGTGTTATCTGAAAACACCACAGGTTGTTGTAAATGTATAAATTTGAGAAATCTCGGTTAAATGACAACGAAAGAAAAAGTTAACATTTTTGTGGTTTAAAACAAATGATACAATAACAATAATAAAGTGTTAAATCTTTAAACAATATGTTCATGGCATATTATTATAAATTTTGTCCAGGTTTTCATTTGTTATGATTTCATTTTTTTTTTCATAAGATATGTAGTTGAATGTACATATTATAGTATTTTGTTTTAATAGTAATTATTAAGTATTACTTATATATTTTTATTCATTAGGAAAAAAGAATTATTAGTCATTTTTGAGAGTAAACTATTTTATCATATTCCTGAAGCAATGGCAATGAGCATTATCAGCCACACTGTGTCCATTGGTAAAATCTGTGCAGTGTTTTTAATAGGTACTTCTATTAAGCCTATTACAGGTCAGTGCAACATGAATAGATTAATCTTTTGGGAATTGTATAGTTGATGTCAATCTGATTGGCAATTGTAGAAAAATTGCAAGTAGGTGTCTTGAGGCAAATATATCAATTGATAACAAAATACCGGTACATGATGACTATTGATATACTAAGGTGTAGGATTAAGTAATCAATTAAGGGAGATTAATTAGTAATATTTGTACTCTCAGTACAGTCAATAGTTTTGGAATATCTAGTTTTGATTCACTTCATCCTGATGTCCAATTCAGCATATTTGTAGCCAGACTGTTAGTTGCGAATCCTGGTGGACATGATTGTCTAACATATACGGATGAAACAAAATTAGTCTTCTGGACCCATTTTACCATAGTAAGTCGAGCAATGGTGAATAAGCATGTAATACACGTAATCATAGTTTCAGGAATATGGCTATTGATTTGGGCGTTTGATTTGCATTTAAATCCACAATTATACTTGTGACCTCGGGGATGACTCTTTTGTTTAACTGTATGACTTTAAATATAAACATAAAAATCTCTTGCAGACCCTCCAGACAGAGGGTACTGTACTTAAGTGTCCCCAAGCCGTGGGGGGGGAATATTTGTAAATTCCTTATTATTTCCAAAGTAGTTCTCATCGTGGTTTTATTGTTAAATATGCTTTAATTATTAGCAATATATCATTTATATGTGTAATTGTAAATAAAATATTATTATTATTATTATCATAATATTATATCTGTAATGTTGATAATATATTATGAATAAATGGCGTATAATGATAGTGCTATGTACTCTTTGTCAAGGAGTGATAATTAATGATTGGTATGTGGAGATATATTATTGTATAAAGATTCTCCTGTCTTCAATAACAATGTATTAATCAACAAACCAATGTAAACAGTTATAGATTATCTTTTTTGCACAAAAATCTTTGCATTGATCTGGGTCCTTCTTCCAGAAAACGTAAACTTTTTTAAGAATGCAGCCTTTTCATCGGCCCAGAGCGAAAAATTGTGTTATGGTTATAGTGCTCAGCCAATGAACACTCAGTATTCTAAAGTTTTCATGAATATTGCCCCTTGAGCTAAAAAATCTGACCACATTGCTATTAATATTTTTTAGGTCACCAAAGCTATCATGAGCATTGATTAAAACATCTGCAAACATTTTCTATAATCTGCATTACTGCGTCTTCACTAATCAGAGAAACTGTGTATGTTGTAGTCATCTTAATACAGGTATACATTATTCATTGGATTACTGAAGATGCATAATATAAGTGAGATTTTGATTTGTTGAGAGAATGTCTATGAATATGTTAATTATTTAATTATAATTATGTATATAAAATTCTATATATAGTAACAATGTTGTCTCACTAAGTTTTTATGTTGTATGTTATGTTATTGGGGTAGTCAAGTATATATGCTCTCAATGTATACATTTCCAGCTCTTCTTGAGTTTAATTTATAAGCAGTGAGAGAAAGTTTATGGTTTAAATACATACTATAATGAGCTGCTTTATATATTTACATTTCTAAATCTCTACTTTAAGGCCAGAATTATCTTTTTGCTTGCTAGTCCATCGTCATTGATTAACACTGTGGGGATACTCTTGATGCTTGATAACATCACAAATTCCACTCACATCACATCAGTTATAGACCTTAAAGAACTTTTACTCAAAATTCGTCTTACACCTCATCAGTTATATGGTCGGAGAGAACTTTAACTCACAACACATCTGTTAAGGACCTGAAAGAATTTTTACTCACATTCCTCTCACACCACATCAGTTACAGGGTCAGAAAGAACACATCTGTTATAGGGCCCATAAAATTTTTTACGAAATTCTATTCCATGTCACTCGGTAGCATTTCTTTTAATTTGGAATCGTCAGAACTAAAAAAACAATTGAGCATCCCTGATGTTAAACAGTGATGATGGATTTTCAAAAATAAGTCTACTCTGCTTTATTTATGAAGTCGTCTGCTTAAGTTTCTAGCCTTGAACCTTAATGTTTCTACAAAGCTGTGTAATAGCCCAACAATATTCTCTACCCAAATAGGACAATGACAAACAACCACAGACTGATTATTTCTTGACTTCTGGCGTAACATGTACGTGTACATAGTAGTAATAGTTGTATTAAAAAAACTTGGTTTAGGCCGAGAAAAGAAATACCTGTGTTGATGGGGTGTGGGAAATCAGAGGAAAGTTTAGGGTTTCTGGCCCCAAAAAATAGGGTCGGTTGGATAACCGTAAACACATTTATTTTTTATTTTGGCCTTATTGTATGTTAAAATGGTGCACTTAAAAAAATCTAGATCTGATTATTTAGATTTAAATATGTAGCTCATATTATAAAACATTTCATACACAAGTATTCACAATCAAATTTTGTGTAATCTTGAAAATTCGTTTCTAATTTGCATCAGGGTCAGATGACTACATTGATTAATGGTCTTGCTTGCTGTAATAACACCCTAATATACAAATTTGACTGAATCAAAATGTGACTTTAAGATTTCAAATTGACCGAGACTGGGCTATTCAATAGTGATGCTTGAGGAGAGAGGACTCGGGTATGAAGTCAGATTATTTTTGTCAATCTGTATGTTATAAAGTTAGTCAATGTAAAATATTATTTTAAATGTATATTATAATATTTTAAAGGTATATTATATTGCCTGTTATTGTAAATATTCTTCTTAAAGGAAACTTATTGTTATTTTGGGCGTTCATGTGTGAATTCATGGTCTGTATTTTCACTTCCTTATTCCTGCTTCTGTCTGTCAAAGTGGCCATGTTGGATTTGTTATTGTATCAGTGTACTGTGTGCATAAATTACAACAAAAATCAAAGGTTACGTTCTAAAAAAAAGAAAGCATACCCTGCCTCATGCAAAACTCCAATGATGATTTGGAATATCCAGAAATTATCAATAATTTTTAACACACTCTAAACATTTTGTTCACAAATCAAATGTCTGAATTAAAATCTAATTATGTGGATATTAATACTTCTGATATATTTCACAAACTTCGTTTATTATTCTTGTGTGTTTACTAGTGCCAATGGGGGTAATTTTTTCTTTAAATATTTATGTATTCCTCATGAAGATTGACATTTTATTGGCTCACTGTACCTCATGGCTCATACGCCTTTTTTATGTTAAAATATTAAGTGTCAATTTAGATCTGACTACCACTTTAATTTGTAAATTTCATGCCCTTACATTTAGTCTACAATTATTGGACGATAATATAGGATAAAATCTGTTGATATAATACTGGTGAATTTGGTCAATCAAAAGTAAGTTAATTTTGATGGTTAATAGATGAAAAATACAGGACTTCAATCATACACAACCATTTCTAACCAATTTAACTGCTGGACAATAAAGTATGTTTATATTAATGATTATGAGAAAGAGTCTGGCTGGATGAAACAGACTAGTGTCTATATATTAAATATAGTTCTATCTTTATGTATGTTATCACCTATGAAATAAAACTGTTTGCCTTTAAATGATTAACATTTGTGTTCAGTAAGTTTAATTATAATCCAAACTGATTAAAAGTAGATGTCAATTACATGTTGTATTATTTTTGATGTTGTAGCAGATTGACATCTGATAATATTTTAATTTAAGTTGGTGTTCAGAACATACAAGACTTCTGACCAATCAAATTGTCTGTATTGGTATGTAGGGCTGTGTTTAATTTGAATATGGGAGACTTTAAGCCCAAGCCTATGTCAGTGATTCTGTTTAGTTTAGAGTTAGAGTTTGATTGACTGATACAAACAGAACTCGCACCTGCAGAATACAGATATGATAGAAGATATGTTGAACTACAATGTTAGAAAAAAAAACCCACACAAAATTGTAACCCAATTTTACTTCTAGATTGATTATTATCTATCAATTTTGAAGCCTAAACTGCAAGTTGACGAGCCAACAGTAAGGCCGATGTCCCCAATCCCCAAATCAAAGGACAACACATTATATATAAAGCATCAAACAACCAAACTGCTTATCTATGCTTAGCCTAAGCAGAAAAAAAGCTCATGACTAAATTCAGCCATGGTTTTGATGTAGTGAAACTACACCAAGTTTAAACACTCTCCCTAAATTAGATTCAAAGTTATTTTGTCTCAACGTATCAACCAACCAATACAATTGCTTATGTCGACTTAGCTTTAGCCGAAAATGTTAATCATCAAACTCAATCAAGGAATTCACCCAATAAATGCCCACAACAAATGTGAACAGAGATATGGTGTCCCAAAAATTTTGTGGGTGTGAATGACCGAATGATTAATGGGTGCGTGCTGTATCATAAGGTCTGTCATTGAGTCAACTGGCATGGTTTTGATTCCCCGGTTGCACATGACAAGTAGGGTCGTCTGTCTAACCTCGTGGGTTTTCTCCAAGTCCTCTAGTTTCCTCCCACTGCTAAAGACCCCTATGCGCAAACGAATTATTGAAATAAAGTTAACTATATGTTAGTCCCGAAATGACCTTGTTTGTTTCAAGTGGATGTTAAACCCCATCTCTCTCCCCCTCCCTCTCTCTCTTCCAGAGACTTGCCTCCTTTAATGTCTGTGGCCGAAACATGGTTTCACCCATACCCAAACGTAGGTTTACCAAACCAGCTAACGCACCCTAATGATTGACTATTTGAATTAGAAAAAATGTTGAATTGGTGGGTGGTGTTTTTCTTATCCCCTTTAATGTCAATTTAACAAATTTATTACCCTCAAATTTATTCCTCTTTCTGAGTAGTTATATGGGTTTTTTTTTACCAAACCCGCTAAGGCCCCCAAATGACTGACTAAATGAACAAGAAAAATGGCTGTTTTGGTGGATCGTGCCTCTCTTTAAGTCAATTTAACAAATTTATTACTAGCACTTAAACTTGATCTCCCCTCTTTTTAATAAAATCTGCATTCATCAATATTAAAGAAATCAGTTCCAAATTAAGTATAGGCCTAGGTCCTATTTGGTAAAAAAAAAATGGCAATCCAATAAAGTCAATAATTTATCAAGTTAAAGATTTAACAGATTAAAGGTGAAAGTTCGCCAGGTGAGTATATAATTACTATCAGTGTTATAAAATATAGAATAACATCCCAGTAATATTATACAAGATAGAGAGATTTACACCTTGTTAGATCAATTTACAAGTTGATAAACTAGAAAATCTTGGTTGATAACCCTAAATATATTTGGAATTCATCCTTAATTATATTCATTATCTATTCATACAAATGACAAAAAGGTTTACACAAAAAAAATTTTTTTTTTATTTTTTAGGCCTATTCTGTCTGGGGAGATAGAATTGTCTGTGTAAGTTCTTGATTGTCTCTGTTTAAAAACTTTCTTTGAAATAAATAAAATACAATAATAATATATTGGACGGTGTAAAACTAAAGCATTTACCTTTTTTTTAAAAATTACTGGAAGTTAAATTTAATTTAGACAATTTATACCGCTGTATTAATAAAGTATATATAGAGCACATATCTGGAAATGGAGTTTCGTTTACAAAGTAAGAATTTGCATTTGGATGCCACGCCCATTTTTCGTATTTCTCTATCATCTTTGTAAAATGGAGCGTCAAAATGTTACAGAAAATAAAAATACAACGGTTCTCTACATCAAATTATACGCCCGCCACTGTCAGTAGAAGTAGGCGATGATTACGGTCTATTTTCATTCAATTTCTCCGGGTGACCCATTGTGAACTTTTGAACTGTTTGGTGTCGTAAATCAAAAGACCTTGACCTGTAGATGATACCTCGTGGATGTGACGTCACTACCCGAAAGACAGCATCAAAACATTGGAGACAGAAAGTGTGGATTTTTCTGCGATTTATTTGTGTTGTAATTTCAGGCCTCTCTCTTTGTTAGACTGTCGTCATAAATCAACTTTTACTGTATCTGTTGGCTCGACAGTTTTTCAACATGCCCGAATTTCAAGAGAGTATCGGTAAAACTTTTAAACAGAGGAAAAGTTTTGGTAAGTTTTCTTCGGGATTGTGATTTAGATTGAATTAAAATGTGGGTTGACCTGTCATTAATGACTGCTAGGTCCGTTTGATTTTCCTATTAAGTGATTTTGTTTGAATATTGGTCAAATATTGATTTTTTTTAAACAATTACATTAACAATATGAATAGAACACGTGGCAGGTTACCATACAATTAATTTTACAGAAGTACTAGTATTCACAGAATGACACACATTTAATTTAGGCTAGAAGTAGATTGACATTGTTTTAATTTAATTTAGGAATAGGATTAAAATTAGTTGGACATTAAAGACTATTCATCAATTTACATTTTTAAATTTTATGATAATTATGCCTATTGGTTTTATAAACAGGATCTATTATGGGATAATGCAGTGTAGACCTGTAAATATAACTTCCCTTATATAAATATATTTACTGACTGACTATACTTATACTATAGATAGACTATAGATAGGCCTAGGTACATAGACCTTATAATATATTATAAGGTCCTTGGTACAATTCAGGGAATTAATTTTGTGTAAACAAAATAAAATAAGGACACGTTACATGCCTTTTTAAGAAATAAATTGGATCAGCATGTGAGACCAGGTAAACTTGTCGAGGGAGATATAAAGAAATTAGAAAGATGCATAAATAGAGACCAGAGAAAATAACCTTATAAATTCCATTAAACGTGATTCAAAATTGATAAGATCACATAAAACAAACTGATTTTCAGAAAGTCAATTGATGGAAACATTTTTTTTATTATGTTTTAGAATTGGTATTTTATAGACACATATCACCAAGTACTTTCGGGGTTATTCTTTGAAATAATCCAGGTGATATTATATTATACATAAGCATGAGGGTGTACCTCGGTGGAGATAAGAATCATAATCCCAGAAAAGGCGATGATTTCTGCTTTTCAATATTACAATCCATTCCAATACCTGTATGCATTATCGAAAGGCTAATCCAAATGTTTTATCACAGCTGATCTGCCTAGATTTACATAAAAATAAAATGCAATCATTTCAACAAATCATATGAAAGATATAATTAAAGATAATATAATGATAAATATTCTTAACAAATCAAATTAAAGAAGTGGATGTTATGTTAAATTAATAATTAAATTTCATTGGCTAAAGTTTAAGAAAATGTTATGCATTATAGAATCGGTTAATAAGCTTTTAAAAACTTTTAATACTAAATATTTTGATAGTAGATTCAAGAGATAACACGTGATTGGTACTGATCTGACAGTATTGTTAATTTTATAACCCTTGCTTGAGATAATTAATTGCACCCAAAGATTGTTCATAATTGCTTGTGGACAATCTTGAGGTTAAAGTTGACATCTAATTGAATGCAGTGTTTATGTTCATGAGGCGAAGAAGCCTTCCGGATATTGATTTTCAACAATTTCTATTAATTATGGCTTTTGATCAGATCGAAAAATCATGTGGATGCGCAAGAGGCTAAAATTGACTTCAAATTTATACACAGACAAAGACGTCTATTACAATTTAATATCAACATTTTTCAATAACTCAAACAGCTTAAAAGATACATTATGGGAGATTAGATAAAGAGCTGGCAGTTCTCAGTATAATAGTTAAAAACTAAATAATGTAAAGGGAATTTCAGTCAAATTGATCCCCTCAGAATGGAGATTTTAGCGATTGAATTTTCGGCCTTGTCTCGATCATCGTTACTAAAGTCAGTACGATAAAAAACCTAGTCTCGATTATCCATTTCATGATTAAATCAAGAATGAAAGTGGAGCAGCAAATGGAGTCCTAACCCAGTAAACATTGCCATCTAACGTTGACATTGAGAGTTGATTATGGTCTGGATACCTTAATAAATGTCTAATTAATAATTTAGATAACATTTCAGGCCTAAAGAAAGACCTGCAATAGGCAGATTTAGCTCTTGCATAATGTATGTTTAAGTTATCATCTGATTAGCAGTTAAGATGTCAACACTGTATTCTTTTTAAGTACTACATGTATTACCAACAAATTTTAAATCTTATTTTACAAGACGATTGCAGTTGGGTTTTCTCTGTCTTAAATAAGTGTAAGCTAGCCTTTATCTAGGTGTAAGTGAAACTATTATTTAAATACTCTTAGAGGTTAATTAAATTATACACACTACTCCTGATAAACAGTAATGATAGATTATATGATGACGTGAAACTGTGTCATATCCTGTAATTTGATGTAATAAATCTTATGTCCATATAAAGCAAACCAAAAATTGGATTATATTTAATCTTTTTAATAGTCTTGCCTAACTAAATAATTATGGTACATTAATTAGTATTAAACTGATCTAAATGTATCATGTTTCGAACTATCTGAATTCAAATTCATGTACTGGTGTGTATATAGGGTTTTCAAAAGTGCAGGATCCACAAAATTATTAAAATTGTCCTCAGATTGACATAATACTGCCCAATACAGATCTTTAAAATATTGTGCAGTAGTCTATAGAGTAATAGCTACCGCCACCACAATATATACAAAAGGGTCATAATAATATTAGCCCAGTTTGGATCTGCACTC